TAGGGAAAATTTTTATGTCTAAGGCATGCAGATTCACTCCTGTTCCCACGTGAATCCCAGCAGTTCTCTCCCATCAGTGCCAAGGTTTCTTGTTCAGAACAAGAAAAGCTCATATTCTCTCTCTTTTTTCTCCCCCCAAATATTAAACTCAGTTGCCTGACCTGAAGCAACCTTTCACCTTCAAGCGTGAGGAACTATCCTGGTAGCTGCTTGAGATTTCCTAAACAGGAAAGAGATGAGCACATCGGAGTGTTTTTAAACAGCTAACGTAAAACCATTGTCACTTTTTAAGGAGAAAGCAATTTAATGGGAGCTGTTGTTCAATGGCAGGCATGTCGCAAGTTTCGGGATGATGCTACGTGCAAGGATACATGTCCCCCATTGGTCCTGTATAACCCCACCACTTACCAGATGGATGTCAACCCTGATGGAAAATACAGCTTTGGAGCCACTTGTGTGAGGGAATGTCCACGTAAGTTTATTTCAGATTGCAGCCACAGAGGAGGTGGGGAGTTGGAGAGGTGGGAAGGGACCTGTCTCATCCCTCTGTGTGGTGGCAGGAGGACCTTCTTGTTCTCCTCTGCTTCCGTGGGAACCAGGAACAGGTGACAAAAATGACAGAATAGCTGGTAAATAGCCCCTTCAAACTGTCTGCAGCCATCACCTTCCCTGATTTTTAACTGTGGAATTTTGACTTGTGAGGCTTTTTCTCTTGATGGGGACAAAACCATCTAATGAGAATCATCAAAACGACAGCCATGTGGGATCAATCTTGTGGATTGCCAAAGCAGTATCAACTCTTAACTGGTTCTTAATTAGGACTGGTAGAAAGTCTTTGGTTTAAACACTCCTTCTCCAGGCCACTGATCATGGCTTCCTCTAGCGGTGCTTGCATTTTCTTTCACACTGTTCCATGTCCATGGTTTTTTAACCCATAAAGATGTAAATGTAGGAGAGGATTTAGCACACAGAACTGAGATTGAACATTGCTCTGACAGGCCCTTAGCCTGGGAAGAGTGAGTGAAGGGGAAGGATCAAAAGTGCCATGTATTGATTCTGATAAATGGCACCACTGCACAGCCTGGCCTGACCTGGCAGAGTTGTTTTATCCTTCTGTGACTGTTCCCCTCTCTGTAAAATAGTGATAGCACTGTATCCCCATCTACCTTCAAAGGATGTTTGTGAGAATTCGTAAGCGATGCCTGTACTTTAAGTAAGCCAAAAGTTCAACTCCTCCCCCCTTTTCTTTTTCCTAGTATTGAAGTGCCTGTGCAGCCTCTTGTATTTCAGTGACCTTTGTATCCTTGTTTTTTTTCCAGACAACTATGTGGTGACAGACCACGGCTCCTGCGTTCGCTCATGCAATACCGATACTTACGAAGTGGAAGAAAATGGTGTTCGGAAGTGTAAAAAGTGTGATGGGTTATGCAGCAAAGGTATAAAAATCATGGAATAAGCCAGTAAGGCTTTGAGATGATAGGTAACTTGTTAGAAAAAGTACATGGAGTTCTGACCTTAATTAAGTGCAAATCCAATATAAATGTGCACTGATAGTTTGAAGATCTGACAAGTGGTTTGACCAGGAAACATGGCCCTGGAGCATACTTTCCAAGTGGGATACACCACAAGTGCAGTGGATAAACTGTGCAGTATGTGTATCTTCACATAAGCCTTCTCCTTCGCTTGTCCTTCCTAGTAGCTTATCAAATGGGAATAAAATGAAAATGGGACAAAGCAAGAGCAGGGCATGAGCAGAGATGCTCAAAGCAGAGCTGCACAACTGGGCAAGCAGGAAGCAGTTACCCTGTGGTGCTTTATGAAAGCAAAAGCAGCCAAGAGATCAATAAAACTAATCTTACAATGGTAGGTTTGAAAGTATGGGAGTGCTTTCTGGACTAATGGTGTCTCCATGTCTATTCCCTTCCATGTGACTGAGCTTTACTCTTCTCTCCCCTGACTTTTGTATCTCTCTTTTTAACAGTGTGCAACGGCATTGGAATAGGTGAACTTAAAGGGATCCTCTCCATAAACGCCACAAACATCGACTCCTTCAAAAACTGTACCAAGATCAATGGGGATGTCAGCATCCTCCCAGTTGCGTTTCTAGGGTGAGTTGCCTGCTGGTCATTTAACACTGGAGGAGAAGGGCTAGGGAGAAATTCACGCTAAGCAGTTCTTTTCCCAATTCCTTGTCCTGTTTGTTTCAGTGATGCCTTCACAAAGACCTTACCCTTGGACCCCAAGAAGCTGGATGTCTTCAAAACAGTCAAAGAAATAACAGGTCAGCAATGGGGTTTGAGCTGAGGTGTTCTCTGACTGGAACTGTCAAAAACGCAAAGGGAGAGGAGGGAAGTGTTTAAAGCACATGAAGAGAAATGCAAGCAAATGGTTTCTGTCTCTGAGCTACCAGGGCTCACTCTTCACAGGGGTGGTCAGTAGCACCTCGCCAGCATTACACCCATGTAACCCATACGGGTCTCCCATCCAAGGTGTGTGGTTTGATCTGACCATCCCTTCTGCTGAAATGTCAGTCCTAGCAAACAGTAAAAGCAGAGGAGATCCTCAGCCATCCAAGAAGTATGTGGTGATGCAGAGGTATGCCACTCCGGCTGAAAATGGCCAAATGTGTTTCTATTTATGGAAAACCTTTCAGCAGCTCCTTAGGGAAGCATGCTTAGTGACTTGCATCATCCTCATGGAGACACCCTCTACAGCCTGAAGAGCTCTTCCTTGGGGTGAATGTGTCTCCACAAGCACAAAGAGGCCCTCAGAGTGCTCAGCCACTGTCTTGTGCCGAGGATCAATTAAAAGTAATTTGGTTCAGCTCATTATAAAATGAGTGTAATATTAGAGCTGGATCCACAGACGTGACTCCAGTTCCCCATTTCTTTCTCTCTTTTACCTGTCTGGTTCCCTTCAGGGTAGCGGTGACTAATCCCAGAGCATCATACAGAGCCTGCAGTCTCCCAGGTTCTCGCCCTCCCTACTGAGCAGGGAAACATGCTTGCATTAGCTAATCCACTCCGAGTGCTGTCTGTTCTGCTCTGTTCCTGCTTTCTCTTCAGTTTACGTGTTCCCTGAGGGTATCTCATAATAGGAGGGAGTGATGCCTTTCTCCTACAGCACCAGAGCCCGCAGCCTCTGAGCCAGGGTATCTCTGAAAGGAGTTGTTATCACTGGCGGATCAGCATGGCAAGGATGTGTGGCTCACCAACACAATCATCTCTTACTCTCCTAAGCCCTACTGGTGGGCTAAATAGTAAACTGTTTATAAAGTGAGGTCTAAAAATATCTCCCTGTTCCCTAAAATGTCATGTTTTACTTAGAGATTCTCAGATAAGCATAGGGAAAGCACAAGCGCCTTCTCCCGGTGCAGGGAGAGGAGGTCCTGCTGTCAATACTGACCACTGTTTATTGTTTATCATTATTATTATTGTTATTATTATATATTCTTTTCTTCATTTCAGGGTTCTTGTTGATTCAGGCCTGGCCTGATAATGCTACTGATCTCTATGCTTTTGAAAATCTGGAGATTATACGAGGCAGAACCAAGCAACAGTAAGTAAATCATGTGTCAGAGCAACTGTAGAAGACACTTGAGCTGCACTTGTCTGAGCACACCAAGGTATCAAGCAGTGTGAGACTCAGGTGTCTTCACAGAATCATCATGGTTTGAGGTGGAAGAGACATTAAAGCTCATCCAGTGCCAACCCCCTGCCACGGGCAGGGACACCTTCCACTAGAGCAGGTTGCTCCAAGCCCCTGTGTCCAACCTGGCCTTGAACACTGCCAGGGATGGGGCAGCCACAGCTTCTCTGAGCACCCTGTGCCAGTGCCTCAGCACCCTCACAGGAGAGAACTTCTGCCTAAGAGCCCATCTCCATCTCCCCTCTGTCAGGTTAAAGCCATCTCCCCTTATTCTGTCACCACAGGCCCTTGCAAAAAGCCTCATATTTCTTGTCAGCCCCTTTAGGCACTGGGAGCTGCTCTGAGGTCTCCCTGGAGCCTTCTCTTCTCCAGGCTGATGCAAAATAGGAAAAACCCGTCAAGGAGTAGAACACCATCTTTGTAGCAGTAGATAATGTGTCCTGGGGGGCGAAATCCTCACCCCTGTGTTCCATGTGAGGGGCTGCCCTGAGCCTGCCTCTCAGGAGCAGGGTCTCGCCCACCAGCCTGGAAGCACAGGTAGAACAGAGAGTGCTCATTGCAGTCTGGGGCAAGTTACGATCAGAAGTGCTTTGGGATTTGAGGTAGATGAGCACTTGGGGACAGACTGTGTCTGCCAGGTGGTATGGACACCTGCAGTGCCTCCAGCATCTCCTGGGCTTAACCCAAGAGGAAGGATGGCTTGGTGGACCAGCACAAAGTAATAGCTGCTCTATCTGCTACCATTGTTGCACATCATTTACTTGATAGAGCACTCTATGTCCTGCCAATTTCAGCTTAGAAAGACCATGCATAACCAGATATGAGTATTGCAGTTGTTTTACAATAGGAATGTCATGTACCAGGCATTAAGTTTAGAGGACTGAGCAGCATCCTGCTTGGACAAAATTAAGTATACAGCAACATGCATTTGAAAATCAAAAAAACCCCACAAAACATGCTGAATAAAACCCTGCTTACTAATTCTCTTTCTTCCATGCGTTTTCTTTTTGTCCCTCTCCATTCAAGTGGCCAGTATTCCCTTGCCGTTGTTAACTTGAAAATACAGTCCTTAGGGCTGCGCTCCCTCAAGGAAATCAGTGATGGAGATGTTGCCATTATGAAGAACAAGAACCTCTGCTATGCTGACACCATGGACTGGCACAGACTGTTTGCAACTCCGAGCCAGAAAACAAAGATTATACAGAACAGAAATAAAAATGAGTGTGGTAAGTCAGTGCTGCCTTCCTGCTTCCTATGGAAGCTTGTGCTGAAGTGCAAGACTAACTTGGGCAAGGCTTTTTCCTCTGTGTTCACCTGGATGCAAAATTCATCCATGATACTGCTTTAACGAAGATGGTGTAGGAGAAGTGGGATGTTTTTTCCCACCAAGGATGTGGAGTTCATCATGTCCAGCAGATGGGAAGGAGCTTCCTCACCACTATGGGCACAGTGAAGCCACAAAGATTGAAGGACACAGAAGTTAACTCCAAACATTGGACTTCTTTGACCAGGTTGAAGCTGTTGTTCAAACATGTTGTTGGTGACTGCAGTGGTCCCTCCATCAAAATCTAATTACTTCTCTTTGCAGAATATGAATTTGTTCTACATTGGAAATTGATCAGAGAATCCTAGGATGATTTAGGGAGGAGACCTAAAGCTCATCCAGCTCCAGCCCCCTGCCACGGGCAGGGACACCTTCCACTAGAGCAGGTTGCTCCAAGCCCCTGTGTCCAACCTGGCCTTGAACACTTCCAGGGATGGGGCAGCCACAGGTTCTCTGGGCACCCTGTGCCAGCACCTAAGCACCCATTGTAACTATTTCATCCTTATACCAAATCTGTATCTACCCTTTTTGAGTTTAAAACTGTTACCTCTTGTCCTGTCACTACAGGCCTTAGTAAAGAGTTGTTATAATCTCCCTTCAAGTATTGGACAGCTGCAGTAACGACTCCTCAGAGTTATTCAGTCTCTTCTGCAGGCTGAATGACCCAAAATCTTATCAGCCTGTGTCCTGCTGGTGGCTGGGATAGAGTTAACTTTCTTCCCAGTAGCTGGTGCAGTGCTGTGTTTTGGATTAGTCTGAGAACAATGTTGATATCGCACTGATGTTTTAGTTGCTGCTCAGTAGTGTTTGCTAAGTCAAGGACTTTTCAGTTTCCCATGCGCTGCCAGTTAGGAGTTGCATAAGAAACCAGGAGGGAGCACAGCCAGGAGAGCTGACCTGAACTAGCCAAAGGGATATTCCATACCACAGCAGGTCATGCTCAGGACAGAAGGTGGGGGGAGTTGGCCAGGAGGCTCCGATTGCTGCTCAGGGATGGGCTGGGTCAGAGGGAGGTGAGCCATCATATTGTGCATCACTTTTCTGTCTTGGGTTTTATTTCTGTCTGTTGTCTCCCTTTTCTTTACAATTACTACTGCTATTATTATTAGTACTATTATTATATTTCAATTATTAAACTGTTCTTACTGCAGCCCACAGGTTTTACCTTCTTTCCAGTTCTCCTCCCCATCTCATTGGGGGTTGTGAGTGAGCAAGTGGCTGCATGGTCCTTAGTTGCCCGCTGGGATTAAACCACAGCAATCTGGTACTGGTTTAGCTTTATTGTATAGTTGTTAAACTGGCACAGAAGAGTTCATTCTTATTTTGAAAGGCCAGAAATCACTCTTAATTTCAGGCTTTGGAAATTAAGAGAAGTGTGATTACTCCTTTTCCACACTGCTAGGACCATTCATGTCTGCTTTGGAACAGATCGGAGAAACTGGTCAGGATGGAGTCACTGGCAATGATTTGTTTGCCCTTTTTCCTGCCTTGATATTCATGGCTTTTCTTGTCTTTCTTTTTCTCTCAGCTGCTGCCAGGCATGTTTGTGACCCCCTGTGCTCAGATGTGGGCTGCTGGGGCCCTGGACCCTTCCACTGCTTCTCCTGCAGGTTTTTCGATCGCCAGAAGGAGTGTGTGAAACAGTGCAACATTCTTCAAGGGTAAGGTGTCTGGGGGTGCTTGAGGTTTTGGCAGTGATTTGGGGATTTTACTGTTTAAAATGTGTTGTAACTAGAAAGAAAACAAAAAATAGGGTCTCTGGCTGCATGGGATTTCACCAGCTTTGCAGAGATGTTGTGTGAGCACTGTACCTGAGGTACCTCTTCTTCCCCATGCAGCATTGCTTAGGATTTTGCTCCTGCCAAGAAAATATCCCCGTAAGCCATGAGGAAACTATCTGGAGGCCCAGGGACACTAAGCCTAGCACTTCTTTCCCATAAGAAATAAAGGACCTTAGAGCCTCAGTGAAAATCTGAGCCATACTGTCATGTCTAGCACACCAAGTGAGAGACAGAGCCATTTGGAGTCACCGGGAGCATAGTTGCCCCCCAGAGCCAGGACTTCACTATGTGGTAGGCTTCCTTACTGCAAAGGGACTCATTTGCTCAGATGAGCAGCTTGCCCTTGCAGTTTGCAAAGTTACAGTCAAGGGAGAATGAACTTTCATCTGCAAAAGCACTGGGAGCAGCAGTTTCAGGCAAAATTATTGCTTCAGCCTCACTCAGGCTGAGGAAAACACATCACTGCTTGTGTGTCAGGGCTGTGGCTGAGGTTTCCAGTCCATTCAACAGGTGATGTAGGCAGGAAAGGCACATCTAGCACCAAAAATTACAGGGATAGTTTTAATAAACCTTTTCAAATTTGACTTCTAAAAATCATGACTATTAAGCAAGTACTTGACAGGGCACTGATGCCCCTGATGATTGTATTTCTCTAGCAGCTTGCAATTCAGCAGCTGTCTTTTTTGTAAGTGAATTCCTGCCAGCAGCTATTATGACCTGAAGGGCAGATCTGGGCATTTTTTGTGTCAAATGATGAGTAGATTTAGTTTAATTAATAACACCATTACTTGAAGTGGAACAGCTTTATTGCTATTGAAACCATCTGTTCCCAACTTTCATATTTTAATGATTCATTGTGTGTTGTAGTGAAGGCATGAATTTAATTATCAGTGCTTTGCTGTTTAACTTCCCTAATTATTATTTGGAGCCTTGGAATCACTTGAACTGTTTTTGCTGATCTCTTTGCATCGCTACCATTTAAAAGCCTTTGGAAATCGTGAATATTCTGTGTTGTTAGCTTAAAAGGGAAAGTAAATTGATTTGTAGTGTGTGATCTGGAGTGCCATGTGTTTCACCATCAACCAAATTTCCCTTACCTGTTACCTCCCCCTGGTTGCACTAAGTAAGTGCTGCTGGTGTAGCCAGGAGGGTCCCCCTGTACTTCCTCCTGTCCCAGTACCATCATTCCGATCTATTTAAGCTGGAAAAATCAGGAAAAAGAGAGATGAGCACAATTTATCACTCACTGATCAGTCTGGGGTTTTATTATTTCTCTCCTTCTTTTTTGTTTTCCAGGGAGCCAAGAGAGTTTGAAAGGGATTCCAAGTGCCTCCCCTGCCACCCCGAGTGCCTGGTGCAGAACTCCACCATGTACAACGCAACCTGCACTGGACCTGTAAGAGCAGATTCAGCTCAGCAAACCTGCACCTCAAACCATTTATTAATATATATTTCCCATGCTGAGATAATCCTGAGGTCTCATTTACCCATCTCCAAGATGGAGTAGAGATGGGGGGGTTAGAAGTTAAGATCATGGGGCAGGGATGCAGAAACAGGAGATGGAACCTTTTTTCTTGTCATCCATCATACACATAATACAAAGTCCCAGGTATTGTTGGGCCTTTCTTTATTGTGCCTTTAACAGAGAGAGAAAAAAAAAACAGGCTTACTTATGTATGTGATGATATGCTAACTTGGCAAGTATTTCAGGAACATGAAGCTAATGAAGTGCCAAGTTAGCATGAACAAATTAAGTTCCCTTATTTAGGGGGAAAAAACTGTTCAAAGTAATGGATTAAACCAGAAGCCTTTTGCCTTTTTGAAAACCTGTGCTAAAATGGTCATCAAGACCAAATGCTTACCAAAAACTAGGCAGGAAGAAGTTTTTACTTAAAACTGTGTTCTCTCCTCTAGCGATGTTCCTGTCTCTAGGTTACAGTAAATACCTATGTTAAAGTAACTGCAGCTGTAAATTACATTCAAAGAAAGGCAATCGAAACAAAACCATTGGATTTTCAAACTTGTATAAATATTCAAAACTCAAGCTTGTTTAAATATTCCAATTCATTCAAGCTCCTCCTACAGAAGTCTGCAGAGTAGTCTTGCTAGTCATCCAGAGTCTTCCTCAATTTTGTTGTTCTTTCGTTTTAAGAACACTATTTTGTGTAATGAAATGTCCAGTTTGGCAACGATACCAAATGGTTTCCTTTTAATCAGATCAAACTAATATCTTGATTGTAAAGCTCTAATTCTCTTTTTCTGGGGGTAATTGAAATCAAGTCTCCTGTTTCCATCACAGATCCTTCTCTGTGCTACTTAACCCAACTCCTTAAACACTTCTTGCTATTCCCTGCAGCCATGAGTGTTCAACCCTTGCCCATCATCAGTCTCAAGAGTCACTGCTCAGTAATGTGAAGCATTTCCATCCTCCCTTCTAGCTTAGACTACCATGGCCCCAGGGATATTATTAACATTATAAACTCCTGCAGGCAGTGACCGCCCCCTTGTTCCATATTTGCCCAGCACATAGAAATCAGCCTATTATAGTGGCCCTTAGACGTTACAGTAATTAAAATAATCTTCCTATATCATGTCTTAGTGTAGTCCCACTGGCACTGTGGGTCAGGTCTGGTTTTCTCCATAGTAGAATTTGACCCATAATTGCTAGTTCCTCTGCTATAAAATACTTAGTACATTCCTGGTGCTATTATAGTCTGAATAAAAACATTTCTGCTAAAGATGGCCAAAGGCAATGCCTTTAAATACAAACTCAGTGCTTTTCAAAGTAAAAATCAACTTACAGACTCCTTGGGTTGAGTCCATTATCCCTTGCTTCTCCCTAGCAAGTGAAAGAACCCATGCTGGGAAACCAAGAAAATACTGATTTGAGGCCAGTACTTCAGGGAGGTGTCAGCAGCTCCAGGTCCATCATTCTAAGTTGTTTGATAGTAGGTTGCACCAGGCTGCAGCTGGGCCCTCTGCTTTTCAGCTTATCCTTTATCAAGATGTTACTAAATTATTCCCCATTTCCAATGCAAAATGCAAGCTTTCCAGCCTGGCAGAAAGCAGGGGCAAAAAAAGCACCTGAAGCTTACGAAAATATTAAACATCAGACTTAATTAAATACTTTAAAGGTCAGGTAGTGCCTTTCATACGGTCCATCTTACAAGAGCAAATACTTGCAAGAATATTAGGTAGCAAAATAATAAAACCATATGATGCTGAAATCTTCCATCAGTGGAAAGCATTTACATTTATCTTGTGTATTTCCTCCTCAATAGGCTGGTGTAAGGGCATTACAAACAAGCTGTTTCTCTTTGCAGGGCCCTGACAATTGCATGAAGTGTGCCCATTTTATAGACGGCCCCCACTGTGTGAAATCCTGCCCGGCGGGAGTTCTGGGTGAGAATGACACCCTTGTCTGGAAATACGCCGATGGGAATGCTGTTTGCCAGCTCTGCCATCCAAACTGCACCCGGGGGTGAGTAAAAGAGAGGGGGAAGAAATAGGGGAACAGCTTGAATTGAGCTCTTTTTCTTCCTGATGGTCCCATTTCAAACAACTGAGAAGAAGAAAGGGAGTGAGAAAGGTCAGTACACAGGTAATGTAAGCAAAGCACAGCAGACTTTGTAAATAGGCAAAGTTCAGTGACACTTTGCCTTTACACAGAAGGCAAAAAAGAAAAAAAGGATTTTAGGGGTTTGAAACATGTTTGTTTGTTGATTTAAATAGGAAATTTCCTGGAATTTTGCAGAGCTCCTCACCAGAGATGAATTTTTGGTTGTTTTCCCACTGGCTTGGCACTGGGTCCTCAGGTTTTGGGAGGATCATCAGTGACATCTGGTGGATTCTGGTCTCCTGGTGACATTTTTTCTCTGCACCTTTCATTTTTTAAGAGGGAAATCCCAGTGGGGTATCACAGTGGTTTTCTATTTTTCCATCTTCCCAGATGCTAGCACTTGGTCTGAGTTTAAAGCCTTGCTTGCCTCCTGAATGTCACTTTGCTGATGGGCATCACAGTAAACCAAATCTGTATAAACCATTTTTGTCCTCATTTGGGAGCATGCTTAAACTGCCACCTGTAAATTGAACTGTATTTAACCTACATGACAATAAGTAACAACTATCTCCTCTCCTGGTTTCCAGCCTGCAAAGGACATGGGATGTGCAATAAAAGGTTTTAAGGGTTGAGACTTGGTTGTTGGACTGTGATGCTTTCAGATCAAAAAACCACCCTACATTTGCTGTCTTTTCCTTTACAGGCCCTTTCTCTGTACCCTGCAGGTCTGTCTGATCCCAGATCCGCCTGTAATACACCTGTAATACTTGTTGCAAGAGAGAACTTAAAACATATTCAGACGAACCATGATCCCATTGTATATTGTGTAGTTCAACTGCCAGGTCATCAAAGAGCAGAGTGCCCAGGCCCCCGCTGTCATGGAGAAAAGGAGATGAGGGGTTAAACCAACAAGTATCTCCCTTTCCTAGTGGTCTGCTTTTCAGATGGTACCTTTAACAACCACATGGGTTTGCTATGATCTACAGCATAGCATACATCTTTTTTGTTCACAGGCAAGGCTTATCAGGGCTTCCCATCATACACCTGAGAACAAATGATCTCAGTTGAAACAGGATCTTAATAACTTTACTCTTTATTAATGACCTCAGTAGTGCCTACTGATACAAACTGGCCACAGTGATCCAATATCCTCCTAACTGGCCACATCAAAATACAGCGTACTGGGTAACCACATCTGAACAAGGCTTTCCAGTGTGCAGCCTCGGTAGTGAGATCAAACACTAGACCCAAATGAATGCAAACTTGAAGAACATAATCTGCCAGACGTGGATGTAATGAGGAGCCGTGTGGTGGCTCTTTGTTCACAAGCAAGTCCCAGAGCAGACTTCATCAGAAAAGTCAATTCCTGCCTGGCTTTAGCAGAGGATGGGAGTACCACAGGAATGTGTTGGGAGACGGGGGTAAAGAGATGTATTTTAAATTAGAGGTACCCAACATATGGCTCAGCATATTTGGCCCTGTGTTATTAAGGCAGAACATAAAAAGTAGTATGAATTCATCTCTTACATGAAAGAACTGGGCTAAGTTTGCCACATTTATATTGTGGACATGCTCAATGGTCCTGTTCAAGTTGCTGCCCAAATGTAGCAGAAGAAATAGGCTGTATCCCTGGAGGGCTCAGGAGAGCTCGAAGAAGGTTATGTTATTATATTTGCTTTACAGATGGAACATGCGAGGCCAATGGCATTGATGGGTAGGGAGCCAGGGTCAGAGACGTAATGTGGGAATGTGCAGTCTGGCACAGCGTTGTCCCCTTGAAGGCAATCAATCAGTAATGCCACTTTACTTCTCTTCACGCCTTTCCCTCGTTGTGCTGGGGCAATGGGATGTGTTCAGCAGTGAGTGGAAAACATCTGTCTCCCAAAGTTTTCACATCCTTAGAAACCACACTCTCAGCGATTTCTGCATGACAAGAAACAACAACTTTTTTCTCTCCCTGTCCAATTTCATGGCTAAAGCCCACAAAATCTTATCAGCATGATTAAGTGCGCTGGCTTCAGGAGTCATGCAAGTAAGGGTTTCCAGGATCTGGCTCTTATTTTCCTTATTTGAAGAAGCTGCAAGTAAAGAGGACTGATCTTCCCAGCTGAGCTTTGCCATGAACTTTGTTTTTTTACTTAGGTGTGCTAAGTGGTAATGCTTCTCTTCTCTTGTATGACTGTGAAGAACCCCATCTAGTCTCATTTTCTTTGCTGAGTCCTTTTCTCAGCCTTCATTAGAAAACAGAATGGAGGAAGCTTTCTTCTGCTCAGCCCAAAAGATCCTTTCTCTCCTATTTCTTCTGTAATCTCTTGGGGATTTTGTACAAGCTTCCCTTTGCTCTGCCTCTAGTACAGCTAAGAAAATAACGCTCCCATAAAGAGAGCAACATTCCAAAAGCCTGGGAATTGTCCCATTTATACCTCTAGCAACTAATGACACACACCAGCTTAATTAATCTGCTCCGTGGTGAAGGATTTGGTTTTCTTTTGTCACTCTCCCAGTGTACAGGAATTCAATTCAGCCACAGCCACTGGGGTGGAAGACGAAGGAGGAGAGAAACCACCACTGTAGTTAATAGCACTGGCTGATGCATCCAGCCTCCGCAGTCACTACCAACACTATGTGCCTCACCAGTCTTCATGTTAGATGCCAGAGGTTTTTAGAAGGGGGTGTGAGAAAGCAGCTGGGGAGGCTGAGAGGGAAGGTTGCTGCAGCACAGCACAAATGTGAATGCCTTTGTCACACTCTGAAGGTTAATGGGAAAGAAAGAGCAGAAAAGGTTCTTGTAAGGCTTTAAAAAGCCCAATGGTTTTCCATTTCTTTTATGACTGTGGGGTAACTTAGGCTGTTATAGTCCTCTCTGAAAGGACATAAATCATAGCAACCTGGCTTACATTAAATTTGGAACTACGGGTCGGGGAGAAAGTTGTTAAAATCTTGATGGATTTGGGAAATAAATAGCTATGGCACATGACAAACAGCGAGGTGGTTGGTGACAGCCAACATGGTTTCATTAAGGGGAAATCCTGCCTGACCAATTTGGTGGCCTTCTGTGATGGGGCTACGGAACTGATGGGCAGTGGCAGAGCAGCTGATGTCATCTACCTGGACTTGTGCAAGGCATTCGACGCTGTCCCACACGACCTCCTTGTCTCTAAAGTGGAGAGACATCAATTTGATGGGTGGACCACTCAGTGGATAAAGAACTGGCTGGGTGCCCCCACGCAAAGAGTTGTGGTCAACGGCTCAATGTCCAGTTGGAGACCAGTAACAAGTGGTGTCCCTCAGGGATCAGTGTTGAGACCTGTTGTTCAATATCTTTTTGGGTGACATGGACAATGGAATTGAGTGCGCCCTCAGCAAGTTTGCCAACGACACCAAGTTGTGTGGCTCGGTTGATACGCTGGAGGGAAGGGATGTCATCCAGAGGGACCTCACACGCTTGTGGGGTGGGCTGATGCCAACCTCATGAAGTTTAACCAAGTCATGAAGTTAAGACAAGTGCAAGGTCCTGCACCTGGGTCTTAGCAATCTCAGGCACAGCTACAGGCTGGGCAG